ATTTGTATAGTGAGAAATTTCTAATATAGATTATAAAGCATGTAAAATTTAACTCAATGATAATAATTTGTTTTACATTATGCTGATTAACAATGTTAAATTCAATTCTTGAGCTTTCTATTTATTCGTTATACCAGCAACAAAGTTTAGCAATTATGTTACGAAATGTTTGTGGAAATAGTATGAAAATATAAAAATATATAACATTGAACTAGTGATACGGACATTTATGTCGCCTAAATTAATTTGAAGTTATAAAATTTAGGTTCTTAAATTGAAATACAAAAAAGTTTCTTGCTACAAAACTTCAGGCTAACCTCACTATGATAATCGCTCATTTAGTACGATTACTTCTTTTATTACAATTATTAAATTCGTGTTCACTGTCTATGTCCCCTAGACGACCTAATAAATAACCAATTAATATTCATGTAACATAACTTTTTTTCACGCGTTCGTAAACAACAATTCGTATATATATTTCAGTATTTTCTTTTTTACGCTTTGATTCCGCTAAGGTTTTAAGTGGTGTACGCTGGTTACGGTTTGATCCTAGCTTCTGGTATACGTTGAATTTTAAGGTTTTTAAAAAAACCTACTAAGGTTTTTTTTTTGAATTGTAAGTTACTATATAAAATAGTTGTTTTTATATAGCATTATATATTATTATTTTTTTTTAAGCCTTTTCGTTTTCTTCGTGTACCTGCTTTGAGTTGGTTTGAGTGGTGGTGCACGCTGGTTACGGTTTGATATTAGCTTTTAGTACACGTTGAATTTGAAAGGTTTTTGAAAGAACTTTTGTATTTTTCCTTACATGTTTATTTTTATGTAATGTGGACTAACTTATTACTTACGCGTAGGACCTGGCCTGAAGGATACCGTATAAGCGCGAAATAACGCGCAGGGGTGTAATTTCGAATTTTGGCCTAAATTAAGCCTAATTCGGGCCATTATTCAAAATAACGCCCCTGCGCGTTATTTCGCGCTTATACGGTATGCCTCTACGTGACGGTCAGTTCAATTTTGAGATTTTATAGTATATAAATAAAATAAATTATATTTATAAAATTTTAATTGTTTGTTGTTAGTTAGTATCATAATTTCTGTTATAAGTTGCTATAAAAAACTACACTTTTTTTTTTGATATTTCCACACCCCACTTTTTTAAAAAAAATTGATCGAAGGTATCTCGACAACTATCTAACCAAATTCGATAAATTTTCTTTTATTTGAATTCTACAGTTATGCAGAATTCGGATAAAAAAAGTTCATCGAAATTGGTTGGATGGTCGTTGAGATACGTCAAAAAAAAAAAAAATTTTTGCCACAGCTAATAGATAGTTTTTTAAAGCTACAATCAGCAATCATCCAACAAAATTTAATGATTTTTTTTTTATCTGAATTCTACAGAACTGTAGCATTCATATAAAAAAAGAATTTATCAAATTTGGATGAGTGGTTGTCGAGATACCTTCAAGAAAAATTCCGCCACAGCTTAGGCGTTTAAAGCTTTGATCTTGGCTACCACCTATTCGAAGTTGTTGAACTTTTTTTTATTTGAATTCTATGGATCTATAGAATTCGAATAAAAAAAAATTTGTCGAGTTTGATTGGATGGTTGTCAAAATTAAAGTTGGTTTTTTGGATTATCCTAAAATAAAAAGATTCATTTTTGAATGTTCTAAAATTCCTAAATTGTCCTATATTTTTACTAATGTAAAAATACTAACGATTGACGTAAATACACTTTGGAATACTTAGCTTCAAGCTGCAGACCTACAACATAGTTTATTATATTAACGATTTAAATTGGTAACAGTAAAGCAAGTCATGTTATATTTCAGTCATGGATGATTATGGTTGATCATTTGAAATTACCAAAGATAGGGAATGGCTAAAGCCATGTACTCACGTAATTTTTCAAAGTTTTGATTAAAATTAGAAATAGAAATAGTTTAGCGTT